ACCAGTGCAACCAGCCGTTCAAGTACGTGTCCACAACTCTGAAAGTCTCGGTGTGGTCAACAACAGACACACATTATGCCAATATCGTGGTCTAAACCAATCAGTGATATTCAAGGGCTGGACCTCTCTAACTGGCTGTGGTCTACATATTCCTGTAGGCCTATTCGGTATGACAATATTGTGGGTATTTTGCAAGCTCATTTTGCTCTCAAGCCCCTAGTCATAGCTGAAAGGTTCTGGTTCCACAAGAGGAACTGGGGGAAGAGGAAACAGTATGTGGCGGTATTGAAAAGACTGTCAGAACATTGTGAGTTTGGCGAGTATCTGGAAGATGCTCTATGGAACAGATTTGTTTGTGGATTGAAGTGTGAAACTGTGCAAAAGCATCTTTTGACTGAGAAGGATGTCATGTTTCTCAAAGCATTTGATTATGCTGTGTTGGCAGAGGTTCAGCAGTTAAGTGGTTCTCTGAAAGGTTTTTTACCGTTTGCTGTCGCAAAAAGGTAATAAATGCCACCACTGCATGAAAATGAATCATACTGATGATGACTTCTGGTACAAAGACCATGTATAAAACTAGAGCCAGAAGCAGCCAAGATTGGAACTGGAAAGAGAAAGAGGGAAACTCTGAACAGAAAGGTAATTCAATTAACACAGAGTGAAGGACAAAAAGAGAAAAAATCATCATGTTGCAGCAAGTTAATGTTAATAAGTGTAAAGATAATGTGAAGGAATCAGACCTGACATTGATAGTGATTTGAATCTGCATTCTTTGTCTTGAAAAGAGATATATTCACAAATCTCAGTGATGCCTGTAGTAAACGGGAAGAAAATGGAGATGGTTTTGGATACAGGGGCTACTGTGTCTTTGATTGCATGAGAACAGTACAAAAGTGTGCTGAGTCCGTTGGCGCTGCAACCCACTGGTATCATGCTGAAGACATACACTGTGGAGCCACTGGCACCAGAAGGGGCCATCAAGGTGCAAGTCAAATTGAACAAGCAATTTGCAAAGCTCCCCTTGCATGTGGTGAAGGTGGATGCCCCACCGCTGTTTGGTAAGGAGTGGTTGGGAGTTAATTATCTGAACTGGAAAGATTTAAAGATTATTCATGCCGAAGAACAAAGAGAAAATGATAACTGTGGCTGAGGCTATGTTAAAGAGACACTCAGTTGTTTTCTCTAAGACATTAGGCACAATGAAAGGGATTAAAGCCAGATTGACAATTAAGCCTAAAATTGTACCCAAATTCTGCCAACCACGTAACATACCTTATGCTCTTTGACCTTGAGTGGAGTCTGAACTGAAATGCCTGACTGAGCTTGGGGTGATCACACATAGAGCATAGTGACTGGGCCACGCCCCTGGTGCCTGGCAACAAGAAGGATGGCCTAATGACACTGTGGGGATTTCAAGGTCACTCTCAGTCCACAGTTCTGCGTGGATAAGTACTTCCACACACCGAGGACCTGTTTGCTTCTCTAAAAGGAGGTCAACACTTCAGTAAGCTGGACTTAGTAAATGCCTATCTACAGATGGAAGTAGAAGAAGAATCTAAGAAGCTGCGGACTATTTTGATTTAAAAAGGGCTATTCTGCTTCAATCATTTACCTTTTCGAGTATCATCAACACCAGCCATATTTCAGAAGGTTATGGGTCAAGAGCTTCTCGGACTACCATCTACCCATTGTTATCTGGATGACATCCTTGTCAGTGGCCCTTGTTTGGTCCAAACATGTGACCCTGCTGGAATTAGACCACGCAGAGAGACTGCAAACAGAACACAAGAGCCACTCAGTTTCACAACCCCCACCATAAAACCCCTGTGGCGTGCCATAAAAACTAAGGCTGTGTGTGTGTGTGTGTGTGTGTGTGTGTGTGTGTACATGACTTCCTGCCACACAATATATGCTTACAACTGTTTAGCCACATTTCCTGATTATCCAAAGGTCATCTCCCCACACCCGTATATGGCTTAACTTTAATGGTTCACCATATGCAAGCATAGGGGAGCCACTAAATGGCTGTGGGTGAACATCCTTCACAAGATAAGGAAACCAGGATCTCAAATAGAATGTGCCTAGAATGTGTTAAATATTACGGCCTCCTCACCGTTCAACAGGCTGGGGAGGAGAACAAAAGAATATCTAAACATGCTGTTTAAGATAGGTTTACAAACTGAAGCACAACAATGACAACATTTAACAAAATCACTCCAACAGCCCTGACAAGCTCACACACCCCAAAACCCTTCAGGCAGTCTTGTGCAGGCTAGAGGACTATTGTCTACATCTCAAAGGGGAGAGGTGCCAGTTTTTCCAGGAATCAGTGGAATACCTGGATCACATAATTGACACGATGGGGTCACACAAGTCACCAGAAAAGGTGACATTATGGAAGCTCCAGCACCAGGTTATGTAAGCCAGCTACGTTCTTTTCTGGAAATGCTACACTATTATTGACGTTTCATACCTGATTTAGCTACAGTATTGAAACTGCTGAATGAGCTCCTCAGTAATGAGAAGAAATGGCTGTGGACAAATCGCCTGTGAGTCAGTGCTGAGTGCTTTTGTTAGCGCATAATTACACCTTGCAGTACCGCAAAGGTATGTGTCATGTCACTGCTGATGGACTGTCACAGCTACCTGTGCCTCTTGCGCAGAAGGAGAAACAAGGACCAGTAGAGGTATTCTACGCATCTCAACTGAACACGTTACCGGTCAGTGTCACCAAGATCAGATGTCACACTATGTCTGATGTTACTTTTTCTCATATCCCGGGAATGGTAACAATTGGATGTTTCCCAGCTGCGAAAGACGTAGATCATGTGCTGTCACCCTATCTGCTGTGCAGACAGCATCTCACGATACAGCAGGGATCCTTCATATGGGACGTGAGAGTGGTTCTGCCACCTAAGCTGCACCCTTTTATCCTGAAAGGGCTCCACGGTCATACAAAAGGAGTTCATATATAAAAGGAGTCATATAAAAGGAGCCATATAAAATGAGTTTTTTATGTAGGAGCACAAGGAGTATGAATATGCCATGTCGATCAGATGCTGACACGCCCTGAGACAATTTCTCAGCAGTTTGCAGTGGAGCCTCCAACAAGCTCTCAAACTTCACTAACCCAGAGTGAGTTACACCATGCTTCACCCTTGTATATCTAATCAGGAAAAGACTGTTGAACAAGTTCTGAGGACCACAATACCTCCAGAAACACACCAGTCTATTGAACCACCATCATCTAAGTGTATACAGGTTACAGAAATTGTTAGACATTATCTAGTGAGGGTCACTAAGCCACCTGTTCGTTACCATGATGGATGAGCGTACTGAGAATGCATAGCTTCTCAGAGCATAGCTTAGTGGGGAGCATTATACCTCAGTGACCTCTAGTGGCCATAGGATTTATGACAACAGTATATGAGTAGATGCCGATGCAAGATAGAGTTGCCTGTGTCAAGGAAATGGCATTTTTGTGTGGCTTTTTTCTTGTCTTACTGGTAATGACAACCCAACACTGGTGATGACCTTAATATAAACTGAATATTAGTGCATTTTGGTGCCATGTACCAGTTCATACATTCAACTACAGGAAAGAGTTCATAAATAAAACAAAATCCACAGCAGCAGCTGAAGTAAAGAGAAGATTACTTTTATTTCTTCCACAGAAGAGACCCTGTCATCACCAGATAAACTCAGTAGAAGGCATTGGTTGAGTTGCCCCACTCACACAATGTTTAATGTTATGTATGAGTCGAAACATATTGTGTGAGAGAGTGATATTATACCCCTTTCGTCAAACTGACAGGTCATTAATTATTCATGAGCTCCGGAAGTAATTAAATTATTCATGAGCTCTGGAAGTAGGAAGTAATTAAGTAATAAAAATATGATATTCCTAAAAATATGATATTCATAAAAATATGATATTCCTAAAAAATATGATATTCATAAAAATATAATTGATTATTTAGAAAGTTTCTTATATATCAAAAAATAGCATTCTTTTATTTCTTTAAGCAATAAAAATTTTATTTTTTTTTTTTATGCTCAAAAAACGCCATCTGGTGGCGGGTCAGTGTGTGTGTGTGTGTGTGCGCGCGCGCGCACCCGTGTCTCCGGACCGTGCTCTCTCGGGCTCCGTGCTCATGTGTTTAAAAATGTATTAAACCATATTAAAATTGTTTAGTTAAACTTGTGTTTTTGTAACGTTCAGTATGGCCACAAACACATGCTGCATGCCTTGGGGGAAAACTTTATTTCGATTTATATGCATTTGTAGATTTAGAATAAAACTCATACTCAGAAAAAACTCGCGATCCCCTAACCCTAACCCTCCTTAGAAACATAAGCAGGGAAAACTCCTTAAAAAACCCTCTGCGTTTTCTCCAAAACCCTACAATAACTTGTTAGGGTACCCCCTCTATTCCCAAAACCTTATATTCGATAACAGGGGAAATCCTGAAAAAATCCTTAGTCTTTTTTTCTCAAATTCAGTGCCCCGCGGCTCCCTTCATGCTCAGCCAAACAAAGCCAAAACTCCTTTAAAAATTTCTCCGCGATTTCTCCAAAACCCTAGAATAACTTGTTAGCTACCCCTCTATTCCCAAAAACCTTATATTCGATAACAGGGAAAATCCTTAGTCTTTTTTCTTCAAAAACTTCCCTCTTACTAGCAAGCTCTAAAATTCAACCCACACTCTAAGTTCTACCTCGCTCTTAATCTCTGATCCACAACTTCTTGCAGAGCACAATTTTTTCCTGCTTGTTCGCTCCCTGCTCTGCTCCCGAATGCGCTGCTTACCTCGTTTGAAAATTCCCCCCTTAGACCAACTCCGCCTCACTGCGCCCCCGCTGCCAATCACATAACCCTTGCACCGCTCCCTTTGCACCCCGGTTAGCCAATCCGCTCCAGGCTTGATTTTATGATCTCCCGCTGAGGTTAAGACTGCCATCAGCTCCCACAAGACCTCTGACTTCAGACATATCAACAACTGGCGCCGCTCAGACTGCTTGCGAGCTCAACAGCCATGAAACCAGGGATCAACAACTACCTTCGCGTGCCCTATGTGCATATCACTCGGTAAGTGTTAATCTTCCTCTCTAACTACATTTTCGCATTTTCCTTTTTTACCATTCTGTCAAAAAGCTTTTTCATCTTCAAAAGCCATGCAAAATAGGCTCTGTAACACTTGGAATACACTTTTTAAAACATATATAAGCTCGCCTCTAACACTCAGAGCTAAAAAGTGCGTTTGTAAGTTAAACTATAGCAGCGATCATGGCCTCATCAGGTACCTCTTTTTTTTTTCTCACTCTTGTTCATATAATGTTTATATTTTTTACTGTTTTTCCCGTTTGTAAATACTCAATGTTATTTCTTTTCAGACTCTGAGATAAACCTGCTCAACTCCTCTTTTTTTGAGTCTCTCGATCGAATTGGTAGGTTTGGTTCATTCTTGTTCCCCTTCTTAACAGCTAATTGTACAAGAAAAACAAAACATTTACCCTCTTTTTTCATTTTTATCAAACTTTCTAGATATCTCTGACTTGGACACCTTTATTGGTACGAGTTCCCCGAATTCTTCACCACCAGTGCTTGTGCGATCCACAGGAAAGAATATTCGTCTCTCCACACGGGACAGACAGCATTTGCTCTCTACGCTAGATCGCCCTGCTTCATCTGGCCCCAGTTCCATTCCCGCCGGAGCTTGTTCTCTCCCGCAACCCTCTGGGAAAAACTTGCGCCTGTCCGCCGGGACAGGCAAGATTTGCTCTCCGAGCTCACTCCCGATGCTCCGGCCAATCGGAGCCCCAGAAACGCTTCTTATTCTCCGCCATCAGACACACGAAATGCACCGCGCCTGCCTTTGAGACCCAATCACGGTCAGTCTCTCTAGGTTCTCGCTATTTTCTCATTTTTTAAAAAAATAAAAACTAACCCTTTTCTATTTAACTTTACTAACTGTTTGTATCTTACCCTCAAATTCTCAGGGCGTCTCAGAAGGAGGAGTAGCAGGACCCGCAGGTTCGCAAGGACAAGGAGGACAAAGCGAACATGCACCCGAAGGCAGCTGGCTTCAATCGCTCTTCGCGCGGTATCTCTGTTTGCTGAATTAGTTCAGCTCATCTTATAAAAACTTTGTTTTTGTTTTTTTTTTTCATTTTGCTTTTCAAACATACTCTCTTTGTGGTTTTTGTTCTTTTAATATATCCTGTTAAACAATAATAATAAAATAAATGGATAACCAGGAACAAGATATTACAGACCCGTTTCTTGCTTTAGAAACAGCGTTAGCTAGGTTAAATGAAAATATACACCATTCTCAGATTACATATTCACAAAACAGTGAGCAACCTGAGGTGATCAATAATAATGATCCTTTAGAATTGCTTAATTTAGCTCTTGCCCGATTAGCACCCAATGAAAGTGCCTTTCAAAATAATTCTTTGAGTTTGGGATTGGATCATGATGAGATCCAAACAGAGTCAGACGCGGTTCATTCACAAATGAGTCTGACACAAAACATCTCCTCTTCTGATCCGTTTTTAGCAATTAATAGAGCTTTAAAAGCTTTAGCCCAAATACAAAATGAGGTTCAAATACCGCCAGAGTTATTGAGTCAAATAAACAGGCTAAATCAAAATCGTTTCATTGATTCTCAAAGCCAGCATTCGCTAGTCTTTTCCCCAGACAATGCGTGTCCCAACGAACCGCTCAGCTGCAGCCCCCTGATACAGCTGTCAACCACTTTCAATGACTCTAATCCTCATCAATCACTCAGCTCTCCCGCAGACATTGTCTCTGCGAATGAGCCACTTAACCAGTAAACCATGATCATCCTTTCAACAAGGGGGTAATCCAGACCAGAGTTGCGCCAGTAATTCAGCACAACCCTCTATAGTTGTTAGAAATAAATTTAATAACGTTGAAATTAGAGAAATTTTGAATTTTCCTCCTCCAAACGATATACCCGACTATGCGCATTATTATCAAGGCGTAATGTCTAGTGCACGTGAAATATCAAACAGGGTTTTTCTCACGCACGTCCAGGTGATTATATCCAGTTAGAATTGATAGGCCAGCAGTTACAAAATAATGTTTCAGTGATTTTACGTGATAATCATGATTTATCTGAATTTGAAAATTTATTCTTGAGAGCGGTACAGTCAAACTGGTCAGTAATGTGTGATGGCTCGTTGGAGGTTGTAGCTCAGATTGTTACACCCCCAAATGGCAGTGGGAAAAGATTGCTTAAACACATACTCGACAGCGAAATTGTGAAAAGAAAACACGGTTTTTATACGTGGTCCATAACCCCTCGAATAAGTTGTGTTTTGCTACAAGTGTTGCCCACCTCTGCAACCCGATTTTAATGACTATCAAGCACAAACATTAGCTAGAGAAATTCAACAAAAAGCTGGTCTAAATGATCAAACGCCTGTTGGGTTTAATCAAATAATTACATTTGAAAGGTTACTAGGATGTAAAATTATAGTATTTTTACCGTAACGAGCATGATCGCACGCTTTGTAAATTTCAGACTAGTACAGTGAATAGCGCAAAAGCCTTGTGTTTATTTTTATTTGACAATCATTACTACGCTATCAAAATCTTAAAGGATTTTGGGCACAGCGTATTTGTGTACTCATTGTTACATAGGCTTTAACCATGTGTTATCCCATTTCTGCCCTGCTCGCTGCTCAGTCTGTATGCAGCCTGACTGCAACGATCATTTCCTCTCCCCTATTGTATGTACCGATTGTAATCGCACCTGTAGATCTCGTTATTGTTTTGAGAGCCATAAAAAACTCGTTGAGAGGCTGAAAGGTCTGCCAGCAACTGCGCCCTCTATAAGAAATGTATCAAGTGCTCCAGGCTATATTGTTTAGCAGCACATGAAAAACCTCACAAATGCCAAAAGAGAAAATGCCAAATCTGTCGTCAGGAAATCTCTAGTGATCATCAACATCAGTGCTATATGCAGGTTTTACAATGCGAAACAAAACATAATAACAAGTTGATTTTATGATTTTGAAACTTTTGTTAACGAACACGGTGAGCACAGCCCTTTTCTGGTGTGTACAAAAACATCAGATGTAAATCTTGGAGCTCTCAGGGCGAGCATTGCGTTGAAAACTTTCTTGCTCATTTTTAGACGCCCCACTTCAAGGGCTCAATCTTATCGCTCATAATGCAAAGGGTTTCGATGCGTACATTATCCTTCGCGGTTAGTTAGGCGAGGATTAAAACCAAACTTGATAATGCAAGTGTAGAGTACACCCAGCACAGACACACGCACACACAGGCAGGTATAGCCAACTTCCTCGTTTATTGGTATATTTGTATTTGACAGCTGACTCAGTCACACCGTCTGACAGCTCGAGCCCAGCTGATTCCTTTGGCCGCTCCTCCTCGTCTCACTATAAACACAGCGGAGGAGACCATCATTAGTCCATAAACAATATCAGCTGTTCTTACCAGCTGCGGCGCCGCCCGTTGAGCCTTCCGCTCCACTCCTCCTGCAGCTGCGCCCGGGCCACGCCTCCGCCACAGCAAGGTTCCAAAGTGATCAGCTTTACAGACCCAGACTTTAATCAACGTTATATAGACTCGTCATGCTTCCTACCTATGCCATTGTCAGCTATCCCGAAAGCGATGGGATTTTCAGATAGTGTTAAAGGTTTTTTTCCTCATTCTTTCAGCTCCAAACAAAACCTAACTTATGTTGGACCGTACCCTCCCCTTCCGCATTTAGTCTCGAGCGCATGACATCAAAAGGCAGAGAGGAATTTTACAAATGGTATGATTCAGTCAGCTCTGGCCCCTTCAATTTCATGAAACAGGCGCTGTTATACTGTAAAAATGATGTTGAAATTCTAGCTCGGGGTTGCGCATTGTTTAGAAACGGGTTTATTGAAGAGACAGGAGTAGATCCTTTCAGTCGCAACACGCTTGCAAGCGCTTGTCTTAAAACGTATTTGACAAACTTCATGCCTGCCAATTCTCTGGCCCTGCCCTGTCCTTTAAATTACCATAATCAGGTAAAATCATTTTCCTCATCCTCAATTCAATGGCTCGAATATCTCTCGTTTACGCAAGGTGTTTTTATCAGACATGCGCTCAATCAAGGAGAAAAACAGCTCGGTAGTTATTATGTAGATGGATATTCCGAAAATAATGGTAAAACATACGTGTGGGAATTTTTGGGCTGCTACTTCCATGGGTGTATTAAGTGTTTTTCCAATCAGTCCGATGTTAACCCCTGGTAGGTTCCTCTTTTGCAGAGTTAAACAGCGCCACTCAAGACAGGCTCGCTAGATTGAGAGCTGAGCATAATGTCTCTCTTGTTATAATCTGGGAGCATGAGTGGACCGAGTTAAAACGTAGTGATGAGAGTGTAATCAGCTTTCTCAAACGTTATGATCCACCAGAGCCTTTGAACCCCCGCCATGCCCTCTTTGGAGGCCGTACAAGCCCAGCACAACTTCGCTGTAGTGCCGGCCCCCGTGAGAAAATCAACTATGTCGATGTCACATCCCTGTATCCATATGTAAATAGTACATGTAGTTACCCCTTGGGTCATCCTCAAATAATCTTTCGAAATTTTCAGCACCCTAAAAACTACTTTGGGTTTATCAAAGCTGCCGTTTACCCACCACGACGGCTCTATTTTCCGGTCTTACCATTTAAAACAAAATCAGGAAAACTTCTCTTTACTCTCTGTCGCACTTGTGCTGAAATGAACAACCAACAAGGAGCCTGTAACCATAGTAACGAGGATAGAGCACTGAGAGGGGTTGGACCACTCCCGAGTTTAACCTCGCATTAGAAAAGGGTTATGAAATAGGTCGAATCACAGAGGTATGGCACTTTGAGAGACAGAGTAACACAATATTCACAGACTATGTACATCATTTCCTGCGCAAAAAACAAGAAGCTTCAGGCTACCCATCAGATGCTGTAACTGAGGAGGCTAAACAGCTTTACATTAAAGACTACCAGGCTAAGCAAGGAATAACTTTAGACCCTGAAAACATAAAACTAAACCCTGCTAAAAGACAAATGGCCAAACTTTGTTTAAACTCTTTTTGGGGAAAATTTGGTCAGAGAAATAATCTCACACAGAGCAAACTGGTGAGTGACCCGAGGAATTCTTTAACCTCATGTTCTCTCCAAAAT